ACGCCCGATTTGTTCCTCCATCAGGCTACCGCAACGCGAGAAACGGTTGCCGCGGCGCTCGGCTACACCATTTGCTTAGACGCTTTCACACCGACATTGTCTTCTGTGCCGCATCTAACAGGACGCGAAAATAGATGGCGAAAGTCCCACAAGCGCCGCCCCCTGTGCGCTACCCATCCGTAAGCTGGTGGACATTTCTAAAACATGCCGGCCGACACAACAGAAAGATACAGCATTTGGAGCTGAAGGGCGGCGGATGACAGGGACAGGCTGCACACCTCCAGGCTGTCCCGTCATGTCGCAGACAGTGTGGCGGTTCAATGGACAGTAGCAGGGCCTCAGATTTCAGGCAAATTTCCCTGATTCAGGGTTTTTTCAGAGGTTTTTTTGGTACCAACCCTGATGGGCTAGGATGTTTTTTTTACACAACCCTGAAATTTCAGGGCTTTTTTTTTAGTGAACTCTGTTTGTACAGCGTTGCTATTGTAGAGGTCCCTGTATCATCTGCCTAACGGGCAGCTACCCCGAATCCTGTAACAGCGTGATTTGGGGCCCGGCCATAATGACTGTATGTTTCCCCTGCTCCATGTGTGCTGGGGGGTTGTGTGAGGGCACTTGGCCCTTAGCCAATTTTAGGGCTAGCGTGTGCTGGGGGATTTGTGAGGGGAATTTTTTACCCTTCGCCACATTCAGGGCCCAATGTGCGCCTTGCGGCTTTGTGAGGGCGAGATTTCCTCCCGCCCCTGCAATTTTGCTCTGCTATCCGATTGGGTCGTTCGGCAAAATATGATTGGCTGAGGCTTCCTGAAAGTGTAACCGCAAAATTTGATGGGCTCAGCATCATCATAATTCCCGCGGGAATCCTCCCTCCCTCCCCCCCCACCCCCATTCCGTCCCGTCTGTGCCCTCCCCAAATGTCGATCCACCCATCTCCCAATTTCGTCAAATCAGCGTAAAATTTTGAAGAAACCCTGATTACTCAGCGGATTTTTTTTTGGAGCCCTGAAAAATCAGGGTAAACATGGGGGGGGGACCCTGAGCAATCAGGGTACCTCAAAACCAATCTGAGGCCCTGGACAGTAGATATACCTAACGCAAGTGAGACAGTAAGCGGAATGGAAAATAGGATGACACAAGCCACCTCACTGGAGAAGGAACTCCCGCGACGTGGTCAGCTATGGGCCAAACTATGCGTAGCCGCCTTGTTTGATTTGCCGAGATGAAACAGCCACTAGGCTGTTTGGAGTAATACCGTAAAAGCCCGGATATAAGACCTATGGGTCTTATCACAAAACACCATTCAAAACTACATTCATCTTATAAATGGAAAAAATGGGGCATTTGAGTGTCTTATAAACGGAATCCTCTTAAGTTCACCGGAAAAACGGCCCGAGAGGTGAACTAAAACATATCGAGTCATCTGATAACGAGAATTCAGCGGAATGGGGAAAATTTGCGGAAGTCAATTGTGACAGTAAAACACGTGTGATGAAAATGCGAATTGCAACAACACCCCGCTCGGGCTTAATCCCAACCGTTCATCGTCTCAGTCAATAAAACTCGTTTGTGCGAGACCCAGTTCTTGCTTTGCGGGAATAAAAAACACTAAAGAATGGAGGGTCTTCTCTCATACCGCCTTGAGGGTGTCTTATAAACAGGAGTTCTGAATACAAGATAGACGCCTAATACAAGACCCTGGATCTTCTATTACTAGGGGGTCTTCTATCCGGGCTTTTACGGTAGTAGAGTTAGGAGGTATTCTTGGAAGAGTTGAAAGGTGAGAGTAGCAAGGTAGTTTTACTAGAAATCATATGATGGCTTCCAATCAAGAAGCACACCACTATTGTTCTAAGTGGTAATGGAACAATCGACTAAATAATGGAAATACAACCTAGGAATAATAATTGATCAGCAAGTGACCAGCGAACAGGCTAAAGTAGGGATCGTACGTGCTAGGGCGAGAACCTCAGGACGTGAGGTTGGGATGGAAGGGTGGCGAGGGTGTCGGAACGCGACTCAGGGAGGTTTGGGCCGAAAATCGAGGCCGAACCTGCGAGGTCAAGGTCTTCGGTTGTACGCGCTGTAATTTAACGCAGTAAGGAATTGTAATTCCTTACACTCTCCCACCTTTTAAAAAGCCCTCCCTACACTAGAAACAATACTCCGACGGATTAATAATCCAATCGCGAGTGTGACTCTAGGTCTTGAAATCTTCTGACGAGCGTAATGATAACGCCGTCCTGACGAGTCTTGGGCAAGCCAAATCCGACGGCTGTAATTGGTCGAGAGATGTCTTAACCATTGGGCGATTATCGCGAGTCAGCAATGTCGATGGCGAAATTGTCAAGGTTGATCTGATGGGTGTCTCTAGACTAGATCGAACGGCTGACGATGACTTTAATTTGGCAGGATGGCTTGGACTGTAGAACGTGGCATGACCGCACGCTAGTCATCATGACGCTTGTCTTGAGTTGTCGAACGTAATCGGGGCCGTTAATCTGGAATAGTGATCGAATGGCTGAAAGTTGTCGAAACGATCGCAATCGATCGTGGCCGTTAAATGTTGGTCGATTATTCGGCTGACCGAATTGGGCAGTGGTGAAAGCTCTTGCGGGCGAATGAACAGTAATGATGTAGGGTGTCGGTTGGTGATGATGAAATTGAAGAGGACGAATGCAGCGCAGCTACACCTCTCCCCCTCCCCTCCTCCTAGAAGAAACAGCTTCGAGATATCAGGTGAACCTCCAGGTAACTTACTGCTCCTGGGTATGCGTAAAATACCCTAACTGCGACTAAACTCCGGAAATTCTCGGTAAGAATGGAAGAATAGACTAGAAAGGAAGAGTACAAGGCATTATAACCTAGAAGCTGTACCCTCTAAGATACAAACATAACAATACATGTTTGACACACCCCGTAGACTGTATAGAAGCAGTTCCTAACGAGAGAACGAGCAGCTCAGGGTGGCACTACTAGTCCGACCTTTGAGGCAAGGGTCTAAAGACCAGTCAAACGAGTACAGACACAAGCCAAAAGCAAAACCAGGGCGGCACTACTAGTCCAGCCACTGGAAGAGGCCACAAGGCCGGTCAGAATAAAATATATAAAAGGTCTGTACACAGTCAAGGCCCTAGCAAGTGAGAGGCTACAGGAACAAGACCTAGCTGTACACAGTGCCGCTGATGATCCTTAGGGGCAAGCGGCTTCGTAAAGATATCAGCTGTGTTGGCACCGGAGGCCAAGTGTACTACGCGAGCCTGGCGGCGCTGCTGTAGCTCACGCAGGAGGAAGTACCGCAGCTGGATGTGCTTCGATCTGCCCTCGAGTCGCGGCTCCTGACACAACAGGATGATGGCCCTGCTGTCAGCGTACAGGAACGGGGCAGAGCTAGGCCGCTCACCTAAGTCAGTGAGCAAGAAGGTCAGCAAGCGGACCTCCTGTGCCGCCATGGCACCGGCGTAGATCGCGGCCTCACAACTGGACTGGGCAACAGACGAGGAGCGAGTAGCTCTCCACGAGACAGCATCTGAACTAAGGCTAAAGCAGTAGCCCTGCGAGGACCTAAGGGTCTCGATATCGTCGGCCCACGAAGCGTCTGTGTGCCTAGTAAGGACCACATGCCTGCACCCTCCTAGCACTAACCCCTTGCCTGATATACTTGCTAGACAACGCAAAACCCTCTTAGCGGTAGACCAGTGCTGAGGTCGGTATCTGTCTGTGGCCACAAAGAGAACCAAGATGCTGAGAGGGTATGCGAGATCTGCGCGAGTGCAAGTCATCAGGTACATGAGGCAACCCACCAGCTCTGCGTAAGGGCCACTGGGCTCTACTGACTCCTCAGGAACTGGAGCAGAGAGCCTGTGGTTTACAGGCAGTAGGGTGGGCTGTGCAGAGGAGAACTGAAGGCCGAACCTTTGAAGGACCAGGGGCACCAAGTGTGACTGAGTGAGGGTGATGGTGCGCGCTGCTCTGTCCCTGGAGATCTGAAAGCCAAGGTAGTGGCGCAGTTCTCCAAGGTCAGTGCAGGTGTGTCTCTTCAGTAGCTCTACCTTCACCGAGGCCAGTGCATCTTTGTCTGTAGTGGCGAAGACCATGTCGTCTACGTAAACAAGGATGTAGAACGGAGTCTGGCGAGCACGAACGAAGAGCGAGGGGTCTGCAGAGGACGGAAAGAATTGCAGATCAGCAAGGGTAGCACGCAACGTGTCGTGCCACTCATGGGGAGCCTGCCGCAGGCCGTAGACAGGGCACCGCAGGAGCCACTGGGTCCTAGGAGGGAAGGTACCAGTGAAACCCTGAGGGCAGCGCAGGTAGACCTGCTCGTATAGACTAACCTGAAGAAATGCAGTGGAGAAGTCGAGGGAGTGAAGCTCGTAGTCACGCTGAGCTGCGACGTGTAGCAGCACCCGAAGAGTAGTTATCTTCGGGGTCGGAGCGAAAGTCTGAAAGAAGTCCACCCCCTCACGCTGACTAAACCCTCTAGCCACGTAGCGCGCCTTAAACACAGGCGGCTCTCTGGGAGGGCGCTTCACCTTGAAGAGCCAGCGGCCATCGACTACGTTCACCCCAGGTGGGGGAACGGCGTCGATGTAGGTGCCGGTGGATCTCCAAGATGCCATCTCTTGCTCCATGACAGCTATCCACTGAGAGGCCCAAGGTCCCGAGACCGCCTCAGCGTAAGTGCGAGGGGTCTGGATATCGAAAGCGTCTAGGTCACCCTAAGGGACTAGCAGCATGGAACAGAGATGGGGCGCAGCCTCGGACAGGAAAGCAAGCTCGTACTAGCGGTCCTCCAGGACGTCATTGCCGAAGGCAGGAGCACCCCCGACAGACGGAGGACAGGCAGGGTCGGAGACCAGAGCGGTGGCGTAGTCAAGGCGGCGGGTAGAGGCGAAGTCAGCGACCGCAGCGACAAGAGCGTCAAGACACGAGACCGGAATAGACGGGTCGGTAACGAGAGAGGCAAGGACCCGAGGAACAAGAGGACGAGTGGCATGAAGGTAGTCAGACAGAGGGGGAGGTGCAACAACAAGGGAGGACGGAGGAGGC